GTACTCATAATACATGCATGGATTCACCGCTTTGATTGCATTGAAAAGTACTGGCAGCTGCTCAACACATCCTCCCAGTCCCCATATATCATGTTCCACGCTCGCTGCTTAGCCCTCCAAGTTTTACCATAAGTGATCACACAACCTCCATACAACGCCTCAATGGTCCTGATAATTGTCCTAATCTTTATGTTGGGTTCTCCCTGCAATATTTTCATCAACCGCTTGGCAATGAGGGTAGATGTCAACTATCGATGCTTCAGTGTCAGCTCATGGTAAGCACAATTGTGTGGCCCGATAACTTTTGTGATCTTCCACTTTCCGGTGACCTTTTGCTTCCTTGCACAAACCCTCCATGGGCAGCGTTCCTTGTCACACACAACTATGTAACGGCGCTCCGCATATGAATGCAAGACCTTGTAAGGTCTCTTTCGTATCACTGCAAACGCCTGCAAACACCTCTTCAATATAGGGAGGTCCTTGAATACCCTCCCATTCTCAATTACCATGTTAGGGTTGGCCTCAGGAGCTTCTAGGAGCTCATCATCACGTCCTTCTACACACGCCTGATCGGAATGAGCAAGATCATTGAACTCATGAACTCTTGGATCACGGCGGCCGGGAAAGATACACCTCAGCATCTCAACATCACTCTCTGTTAGCTCTCCAACAGGATGATCATCATCAAAATCAAGAGCCCTTGCCATCTCATATGGCTCCGAATCATTCATAATTTCAACACTATTGGAGATATGGAATCCATCTCCACAAAGCACTTGCGCGACAATAGTGGACACATCCACATTGTCAGGAATGTCTACTGCAATATAAGTACAAAAATGAGGAAAGAATAAAAAATTGGATGTAAGGAATGGGGTAAGCTCTAAATAACCATGCGGATAAGACACTTACTCGGATGATTCTGTGTCAAAGGGATCTTATAAGGAGGATCTGCCACAACATCGTGAGTCTGACAAGCATCTCCAACTAGCATATTGGAGGCAAATTGAGCATCAGGAACCGTAGGTGCAACCTCCGCATCCATATCAGGTTCCGGGACAAGAGGGTGGAAGTGTGCCTGCTGACCCATTGGTAGGGGAAAACCCATGAGGGATGAGATCAACTAACACCCGACGCACAACCACGTCCAAACTTTAGAACTAACACTTCATAGTTGATCTCACATAGTTCTCCCACTGGTCTACATATCCAATTGTGATCATCTTCCTAAGGATGTTGGGTGGGGAACCTAGGTGAAGTACACCCTCCACTGCGATGCCATCATCATCATCAGCTCCATGGTAATATAGCTTCTCCCGAGCCCTTACAACCAACTCATTAAATGATGGCTTCTCATTGAATAACATAGGCATGCTTTGCGTCTCAACAAACTCAATATATCCATAGCGATCTCTTTCCACGGTGCCTCCATGATATATGCTCATTAGATTGTCCATCTAGTTCAAACATATAACGAAACACATATTCTTTAGTCCAAATTAGACGATAGATAGTACCTAACAAATACTTTCTAACTACAAACTAAGTAAATAAGATAATAACTACGTACATAGATACAGTGTACTCACTAAATAGCTAGATCATATTTAGTTAACTAAATATATAACTATCTATCTAAATAGCTATCTAACGATATCTATGTACCTATGTATCTATGTTTCTATCTATCTACATATCTATCTCACTAGATCACTAACTAAATCAACCACCTGAGTCATCACATTAACTAAAAAATAACAAATACCAAAACTACTACACTACAATCAAAACTAACTAAGTACGTACATTGCATATTCATAATTTTTACCTGTTCGACGACGGAGTCGCGGACGTTGACGGAGTCGCAGCGGACATCAGGCGTGGGTGAGGCCGACGAGGCCGGGCATGGTGGTGGTACGGCCGTAGGCTAGGGTAGGGTGGCCTGGGGTGGGTGGTGGCTGGTGATGTGAGCAAAGATGGCGAGGCTCGCAGTGTGAGGCCGAGGCTGCAGCACTGGCAATGCGTGGCCACTGATGCATGGCATGGTCAAGACAGCGTGGGGAGTGGGTGTGAAGGTGGGAAGGTGTGGGAGAGCGAAGGCGGCATGGTCTGGTTAGTTGGTGGTGGCGTCGGAAAGAAGAAAGAGAGGAGCAAGAGAAAAGGAAGGAGGGGCCCATACGTAAGGCAAAGGCTGGCGTCGGGCTGGCGTAAGCGGCGTCAAGATCTCGACGTTGAGCCCAAGAACTGGGCGGGCGATGGTGTCGGGGCGTGTAAGCTCGGCGCGTGGCAATAATGGCGCCGAAGTAAGGGTCCAGATTTTGAAATCAAACCTGCGAGAGAGAGAGGAGTAAAAAGAAAAAGAAAAGCTAAAAATAAAAATTGGCCCCTCAAGGCTTACGCTTAGACAAAAGAGCACCGCGTTCCCAGAGCAGCTCGGCGTCAAGATCTGGAGCCATGGTTGAGCCCAGGTGAACCGACGCTTTGCCTAACGATGGTGTCGAGACGATAGTAAGGTTCCGTGAGAGAACAGCAATAATGGCGCCGAGTTAAGGGTCCAAATTTTAAAATCATACCTCCAGGGATATATTTGTAAAAAAAATTAAAAAGAAGGCTAAAAAATAAAAAAAATTGGCCCCCTCGAGACTGCACGCTTAGACAAAAGAGCACCGCGTTCCCAGAGCCAGGTGGCCGGGGCCGGGCCGAAAGCAACATGGAGCCATGGACGACGCCAGGTGGACCGACGCTTTGCCCTATCCATCGCGACAGCGACGGCAGAGACGATAGCAGCGAGCTTCCGTGAGAGGAACAGGAAATTAAGCGATAACTACACTCTACTGGCACATACAACGGATGATGCTGGCTTATGATCGATCGAGTTGCAGCGGATTAGACGCCAGCGGTAGCACAAATTCTCTCGCCGAAAGAGCAAACAAAGATCGCGCGGAGAAACGGAGGCATCATCGGTGGCTGACCTGACGCCCAGAAACGACCAACGAAATCCGAGATCCGAAGACCGCAGCACTGGCGCAGGGGCTGGGCTGGGGCCCATGCGCTGGTCGCTGTCGTTTTCATTCGGTTGCGAACTTGTTGTAGCTGGATTAGATTACTACGAGTACTACTAAACTAGTGGTCTAGTGGATGTGGACCAAGAAAGTTGCAGCAACAGGAAATACGACGTATAGTATGGTTCAGAAAAAATAGTAAACTATAATCAAGTCGGGATAGTTTGTGGTTCCGTTTGGATCCCGCCGGATTCTGCGAATTCGTTAAAACAATCTTAAAATATCATAATCTTATCTTATCTAAAAAAATATCATAATCTTATCAAAACTGGCTAGATTTAGAAGCATTTCACCTTATAAATTCTAAGAATTTTATAATCCAATAAGGCTTTAGATAGTACTCTTTTCATTTCAGATTATAAGTTATTTTGTCTTTATCTAAGTACATGTCTTTTTCTATGCATTTAGATATACTAGTAATTTGGAACGAAGCTAGTAAGAGATACTAGATACTAAGAATGTCCATCCCATCTAAACTTTAGGGTCGAGAGATGGCAACGAAGAGAAAGTCTGGCACGCATATATTAGCCAGGCTCAGCAGGGACAATCTCAAGACATAAAACAGGCTGTTGTTTGTTCACTGAATTTAAAGGACCAAGCTAGACAGAGCGTTTGTTTGACGATTACACTAGAATGTCATCTTATTAATTTGAATAGAAAACAACTGTTAAAATAATATTTGCTTAAATAATTTATTTTATCATGTTATAAGTCCTATTTTACTTTGAAATATACTTCTTCTGTCTTTGAATAAATAGATTCATAGAGTTGTCTTAAGTCAAAATTTTTAAACTTTGACCGAATTTCTAGAAAAAAAAACGTGAAGATTCATGATATCAAAATAGTATCATTAGATTTACCATAGAATATATTTTTATATGATGCTTATTTTCTGACATTAATGTTTTTTGCTTTTTTCTATAAAGTTAGCTAAACTTTAAAAAATACTAATATGCTTTAAAACATGTTTGATAACGTCGTTCATTTGCTAATACGACGCTGCTTCCGGCACTAGAGAACCGGATTTTAGTCTTGTTTCCCAAGCTGCTCTGCATGTCGCGCCACACAATATTTTTACAACATTGACAATTGATGACACCGCAGAATTGTGGAGGTTCCAAAATTGTGGAGGTTCCAAAGTCCAGCAAGGCAGGAAACCTCGTCGCACACACCGAGATATGGGCCATATTTCCCGTCAAAGAAGCAGGCGGATCTGCGAATTTCCCCAGCAGGCCACCGCGCAAAGCGCATTTTATAGCGAGCGAACGCACATCGCCTCGCCGCCAGCCACACGGGAGCCCGGACCGCTGCCACCTCCCTCCCCACTTCTCCAGTCCATTCCATTCCAGGCACACCCAACGCCCGCCCACTTACCTTGCGTCCTACTCCTACGCCTCACTTTTACCGAACTACCCCTCTCTTACATCCAACACCAGGGGCAACCGCGTCATTTTTTTTTTCTCTCTACAGCGCAGTCCCAGTCCAGTACGCGAAGGCGCGGAAAGGCTCCACCGCCTTGCCTGTCGGCCTCCCGCGACGAGTACACCACCGTTCGCTGGCACTACACTGACTGACATGTGGGGCGAGCCTTCCGGGCCCGCGTGCAAGTGACGCGGGTGCGGGGTCGCCGGGGGACGACGTGGCGCCGCACGCGGCGCGTAGCTGCAGGTGGTGGCGAGTAGGGGAGGGTGGTGGTGGTGGGCCCGGTTTGTTTTTTTCTTTATTTTACGTGGTTTTATTCTGCCGTTTAAAAGGGAGGCCGGACCGGCACACCGTGGCTTTCGTTCGTCTCCACGCCCCTCTCATTCGCACCGCTCCCACCCACATCCTCTCCTCTTCGCCTCCCCCCCTCTCTCTCTCTCTCTGCACGCCTCCACTCCGCGTGGGCTTCCGTCCGGCGGTGGTTCACCTCGCCGAGAGGCAGCAGCGCCAGCAGCCATGACCGCGGCCGACGGGGAGGCCTGCGCGGTGGTCGCGACGGCCGCCGACATCATCTGCTCTCTCCGTGGCGCGGACCTCGCCGGCTGGACCCCGCCGTGGCGCAAGCACGAGCCCGCCTGCGACGGCGGACAGAAGGAGGAGGGCGGCGGCGACGACGACGTGCGGGACCTGGCCTGGCCGGTGGTGGCGCGCGGGAAGCGCTCGCGGTCCCGGCGCGAGTCCCCGTCGGCCTCCGCCGCCTCCGCGGACGCGAAGGAGAAGAAGAAGAAAGCGCGGCGCGGCGCCCGCGGCAGCCCCGCGTCGCCGCTCGACTACAGCGGCGGGTCCGGCTCCGGCGCGTCCACCAGCGGCGGCGAGGACGGCGCCTTCTGCTCCCAGCCAGAGCCACCAGCCTTCCCGCCGGCCGCCGCCGCCGCCGCGTGCCAGCAGCTCGCGGCGCCCGGCGCGCCCGCGCCCCCATCGCCCCCCAGCAAGGTACGTACGTACGTGCGTGCGCACGCGCCTACTACCTCACATCTGACATCCCCGTACCCGTCTCCTGTTGGTTTGGTTTGGTCGCCCGCGGCTGCTGTGTTGTGGGCGGTTGGTTGCTTTCCGATTCGCGTTCGTGCCTGGCTCGACGGACGGAAGGACGGACCAAACTGCCCCTCCGTGTCAGCAGCACGAGGATGACTTCCCGATGACACCTCGCTTTTCCCCTCTCCCTTGCCTCACTCACACCCTCCGCTTTTTTCACCCTATTCTCTGATGGTAAATTTAGCTTATCCTGATGCTTACTTTGAAACGCTGTGAGAGGAAAATACCCTTCCATGCGCTGAAAAGCAGTCGTGAATAAGCTCTCGCCACCCCTTTTGTAGATGGCGAGTCCGGTAAAAGGAGACGCCCTGTGGTCGTCGGATACCTCACGGATCTCTCGCGTCCGCCCGCCCGCCCGCCCGCAGTCCTCCCGTCGTAGCATAGCAGCCCCTGGTGGATTTTCTCTCGCTTGGTGGCGCTGCCACTCGGTTCGGTGGAGCGGACCGTGGACAATTTCTGGAATTTTTATTCGCTGCCCCTGCCCCTGCCCATGCCTATTGTAGGTACGTTGCTTGTTCACCGGGGTTGACTCCGATGGCGGAGGGGGGCAGGGGAGGCAATTCACACGGGTAGGTGGGGCTGGGCCGGCTCCCACTCCCACTCCAACCACGGGCCGCGCGGTTGCGGCTTGCGTGTGCGTCCGCCGCTGCGCTGTCTCCGTCCCCAAACTGTCCTCGCCTCGTGCCCCACCGGGGAACCTAAAACCCGTGGGCATTTTCGACATTATCCAGTGCTTATCCCTCGCTGCTCTGCGGTGGTGGAGGCGTGGAGCGCAGTCAAACCGGACCTCCCCAAGGAAGGGGCCGCATGTCCGTCCGTGGCCGCCACACACGCAGCCACGCAGACCAAACCGGTGGTCGCAGCGCACTCTGTCCACTCCAGCAATGACACGTGTCCAGGTGGCATAACGGGGCCCCACATATTATTCCAACTTCCATTCAAATCTAAAATTTGGAACAAGGGGGGGAAAACTAGCAATTTGCTCACTGAGTGATTACGCGCAGATAAGGTGATGGAAGGGATGAAATCGACGTGTCGCTTGTCCATGTGCTTTTGATGTCCACGCTGCCTCCCTTCATCCCATAATAACGTGCTTCATGTGATTGCCTAATCGAGATGCCGCTGCAGGAATTGCAATCTTGGTAGTAGTTGAGTTGGGTGTACAGTAGGTGTCTACTCGGCTTTTTCTTCGGTGTGCTACGTCCTTGGCTACCTGGGTTCAAAAGAATCAAAGGAGACGAAAAAAGAACATGCGGGGTGTTGCGTTTCGACGCCTGCTGTTCGCTGGACCCTTTTTTCTCTCGGGGCTGGGTCTAGTCTAGTCTAGTGGTCCGCGTTGTTTGTTTGTTCCCGTGGCTACCACTCTACTAGGCCATGTTTAGTTGCCTCAAATTAAAACTAAAGCGTTGTAGAACTTTATATAAAAATATCTCCATTTGTATAAGAAGAAGATCGATAAGCACTTGACGCATAATATCTTTATTAAAACTTTATTTAATTTGAGCAGATATATCGTGGAAAACTTTAAATGTTTTATTTTGAGGTCATTAAGATGCTCAACAAATCAATAAAAAAACTACGATAAGTGCTTATAAGATTGGAAAATCGTTCTGATTCTTTATATGGGGTCAAATAGATATCTTTTATATATGAAAATTGTAGAAGATGATTTGAGATCTACAACGATCTAGTTTTAAGTTTTTTTTTAATTTGAGGTCTTTAAGATGCTCAAAAAATTAACCAAGTTTTAGCAAGATATTACGATCGGATAATTATTATCAAAATTGAAACAAAACGCTACATAGTTGATTAGATTTAAATTAGCAAAGACAGTTATAGTTCGTGGATACGATAATCGGACGTTTTTATAGCAAATTCAGCCGGCACCGAACGATAGTGGCTGAAACTAAACGATGAAATTGAGCCTAGTAGGAATACTATTCGGCTCTATAACATGCATCTGTTGCGTTTCGACGCCTGCTGTTCGCTGCGCTTTTTTCCTGGGGGTGGGTGGCGTCTAGTCTAGTGGTCCGCGTTGTTTGTTTGTTCCCGATCACTCTACTAGTAGGTGCCTATACCAGCATCTGAGCTGGCCTGCAGCGCGACAGGTGGGTGGCGTCGCCGGAAGAAGATCCCGGTGCCACCACCTCGGCCGGCCGGACAGCGGGCGCGGAAGAAGATGGTAAGCACCGGACCTCAGTACTTACTCCTAGAATATCTCGTCGGCACAGCAAAAGCACGTTAGCCGTAGCCGCTAGTAGGGGCTATCTATAGATTTCAGGATATGAATATATACGTTGTCTGTTTGGTTGATAGATAAGAGAGTTATTTTTCTGTTTGGTTGGATGGATGAGATTGGATGGGATGAGAATACTTAACTAATTATATCTTATTTAAAAATAATAACAACTAATTATACCCTAATAAATATGCACGGACATTAATCTTGTCATTATAATCACTAATTAAAAATAAAATATGTTAATTAGCACTATACTACTCTAATTGTCACATAAAATATACACTAATCAATATATGGATATCCTCATCTGTCAAATTTTTCTAGAGTCATGATATCCAGCATCTATTTAGAATTTTTCTGTTATGGATATTTAGATTCAGTTTATCTATTCAACCAAATATACTGTATCTTTGTCTCATCCATAGATATGTCTCGTCCATACATATCCATGGAACAAAAGCGACCAGCATGGTTACTGCAGATGGTAGCTTTGGTTTGTTTGGGCCTTTTTAGTTCATTCCCAAAAGATTACACTCTATCTTATCAAAATGTTTTGACACATGTATAGAGTATTAAATATAGATTAAAAAATAATTAATTGTACATATTGTGACTACTTTACAAGACGAATCTTTTAAACCTAATTAGTCTATGATTTGATAATGTGGTGTTACAGCAACACATGTGCTAATGACGGATTAATTAGGTTTAATAAATTCGTCTTCCGGTTTACTGACGGATTCTATAATTTATTTTTTTATTAGTCGAACATCCCATTCGACACAACATATGCCATCCCAAAACTTTATACTCTTAATTTAAACAAGGCCTCGGTCACTTAACCTTGAATGCGTTTTTCACCGACCTACTGCCGACCAAACTCCCTCCCCAACCATTCACGGCATCAGCAGTTCAGCACAGGCCGGCCGCCGGCCAGGCAACAACAGGTTCCCTTTGGTTGTCCTGGTCAGCACTCACCCAGTTGTAGTAGTGGAAAGGATGTTCCTGTTCGAGTGCCTAGTGGTACGTAGCGTAGGCTGGAATAAAGCCGTGCTGCGGTGCTGGCACTAGCGCAGCCCTGAAGCCCTGGCGCCCCGCCATTCGAAGGGGAAGAGGCCAAGAGAGGCAGGGAGGCAAAAGTGGCATGGCATCCTGAGACCTCCGCCTGCCCGAAAAGATCACGCACCTCATCATCATCCACCTGCTGTCCTGTGACCAAAAAGATCATGCTTCATGTTTAAACAAAAGCTACTAGGCTCGTCGCATCTCTTTCCTGCTTGACAACCTGCTCAAATTTGCTGTGGTTTGCAGAGGCTACCGGAGATCCAGCAGATGGTGCGGTCGCTGTCGGTGGAGAACGATGCCCTCCGCAAGGTCAACATCTCATCCTTTAAGAGAATGAAAAATCGGGCAACATGCTTGATCATTGGATATGTCCAATCCGGCAACATGTTTGATCCTTGGATATGTTCGTGATTTTGTGGCTGATTTTCTGGGATGTTTCTGTGTAAGCAGGAGATGAAGGCGTTGCAGAGGGCTTGCACGGCGCTGTCCCAAGAAAACGGCAAGCTAGAGGTTAGTGACACACCCTTCCCTTTGTTATTCATGTGGCATTTAGGCTAGTACATATACATATTACATGCTTCCACTTTGGCCGTTGGGGCGGCAGCTGGTATAGCTTAAAGCACAAGTGATAAAAACTTTGTTTTTATAAACTGCAACTACTAAGATTGGAGGTTGTGAAGAATCTCCCTAAGAAGCGGTTGGTGCCTGTTTTTTTGAAAACATGGTTGGTCCCTGTTATTATTGGCTTTTTTATATTTTTTTAAGCAATGCCTTGATTCGTATTGCTAGAACAAATGGTACGGTGGGCTAATTGGTTGGGTCGGCACAGAGCTCCATTTCACATCCCTCTCAACAACCGTCGTCCTAGCTAAAACGGATAGCGATGCTGATAAGCCTCTAGCAGCGAACGTTTAGATGTCCAATCTCCGAGCCTTTTTGACTTAGGATTCCCAGGTTGGCCTACTACCACGCGACAAACCACCTGTCTCCCTCTCTCTCTCTCTCTGCGAGTGGGGACACGTGGAGCGCTGGCCCCACCTGCAGCGACTCATTTCGACATAGGGCCCGTTAGGTCCCGGAGAGCGGAGATGCCACTCCACTGCCGTTCATGGTAAGTTCCTTCTCGTGATATAGCTGCCAGCAAATGAGTGGTTTAGGGGGATGCGTGCCATGCTGTCCAACGAGGGGACGCACTAGCTCGTGCGTGGTGGCCTAGAGATGCCGATAGCCGGATTCGTTTCTCGATTAGGACCATGGTGGCATAGATCGTCCGGGCGTTGGGCAAACGTCCGGCCGTTGATTTTAAGCGGCCTCTATTTTTCTATAGAAAGATTTTCCGTGTGAGTAGTAGTAGGTCAGATGGAGCTTGCACCTGCATGTGGCAGATTTTTGCTTTCCGGAGGAAGTGTGAAGCTACTCCCTCTCGCAAGAGCCATAAACTAGTGTGACCAAACTGCCTGCTCATCACATCTGGAGGAGGCGCTGCTGGTCGTAACAGATGCTGTTGGGGGTACTTCGCCTTCGGCTGCACGACCTGTGGCCGCAACCGGCGCAGCAAAAGGTGTTCGACGACTGTACACGCACGCTTCGGTTCCTGGTGCCCGTACGCTCCCTAGAATCTTTGCAAATAAAGAACGTCGCCAAGTTGCTGAGCCACCAACCCCGCAGGGAGGCTATGGCACTGGCAGGCACCCCACACGCACCTGCCCGCCTGCCTGACTTGGATCCCGGCACGGAAACGATAACCCCGTGGCGTGGCCTTCTGTAACCCTGTCTCGCCCGCGTGGCCTGACGGTGCTGTGCGGAGTACTGTGTCGCTGTACTGTGAATGTGATTGGTTCCATGATTTCGAAGAGATGCTGCCGCCCAGCTTGAAGAAGGGGACGGCTGGGATGCTGGGTGGGTTGGCCAGTACGCACGCACGCCTTCATTCCTCTAGGCTGTAGTAGTGGCTTAGGCCAACCGATCGATTGGGCCACTCCAGCTAAATGGCACGAGACGTGCATGTGTACAAACACTAATGGCAGACATCCTGGATCTGTTAAGTCCTGCTTCACGTTGTTTAATTCTTAGTACATTCATTATGGCGGCACCTCGTTGGCCCTTTTAGCCAGGACCCCGGTTTAATTAGTACGAGAAATGACAGTAGTGTTAGACCGTGTCGTTGCAGTCCTTTTGTCTGCTGGCTGGTCTGTTACTTGGTTCCGAACGTTGTGCATATTCATTCATATGCAGTAGATGATGTATCTGACAGATTTGTTTAACCTTTTGGCAGACAAGGCTCGATCAGTCCATTACGCTAAACGAGGTAATCTCCGTGGAGAACAAGGGGAAGAAGCCACAACCTGAGCATCAGCGCACAGCTGAGCAGGAAGCTCCGAGCGGCTTCGTGCTCCCTGACCTCAACCTCCCGTCAGACGTCTCATACATGGCTGAATTTGTTGGTGGCCACAATCTTCAGATCGAATTAGCACGCTAACCTGATAATTAACTGTACATAGAGGAAGCTGGGCCAGAAGGGGGTTCTGAATGATCACACTGCTTGCCAGGATGATACTGAAGGAGAACGGAGATTATCTTTTGTTTCATAAGTTGTTGACATTTAGGGTTTAGAGCCGTCTGTAATCCTCCGACCTGAATAATGTTGTTTTTATGTTCAGAGCGGAGGATCGGTTTTACGTTTACCTCACGTTTTCTGATAAGGTTCTTTAGTAGTGCCCCGCGCATCAGTGTGGATGGATGCGCAGTGGGATATATATATGTATTTTCAGGTAGTTGAAGCTTCGAAATGAACCCATGATGTAGCTTTGTTTCATCTAAATATATAGTACTATAGTTCAAACTTCTGAAGCTCTTCTTTTTACAGTGTCGTTGTTGATGCGCTGCTGCGCTTGTGATGTGAATTCGCTAGGCAAAAGGCAAAACAAAAGTTTTTGGATACAATCTTTTAGGATTTGGTTCGGTGTTCTGTGAATCAGTGAACATCAAGGATAATCGATTGTGATAATCAACTGCACTAGTATTTCACCAAAAACAAAAAAGGTCAGACAACGTCAGGAGTCCTCTAACAAAGTGGGCTCTTATGCATAGTATATCGGAGGGTCCAACCGATCGCACATCACATGAAACCCATTGAAGAGAGGCCCGCTACTGAAGGATCATGGCCCACAACAGTTTTTTTTTGGCATCACCTTTCATTTTTCATTTTGTCTCTTTTTACTAATCATTATTAATACTTGGTGTGTTCGTTGATTCACAATTCCGTATTCCTTATATAAATTCGTCATCTTAAAGTTAAAGACTTGATTCAACGTTTCACATCCGAAATAATAGTTTTATCGAAATGTGCAACCAATACATTTAAAATGGTGCATACCTTTAAATGTTCTAAATGATAACTATATTCATATAAGATTTCATCACGATGCATCAATTCTAAGTAACACCATGGTTCAAATGGATTTGGAAATAAACTTACAAAATGGACTTATGATTCATAAACAAATTTTGTTCAAATATTGAATTTCAACATAACTTTTCCATGGTTTTACCTTTCCTACTAGTCGCCGCTCGTTGTCATCCATCATTGCGACCTCCATGCTCTTCCCTAATACCTTGGGTCTAGAATCCTCCACATTATCGTCCACCATTGGTCAAACACAAAACGCTGATAGTATGATACCTTTACTGCCTAACACCGCCGCCTTTTCTAGTCTGACCTTTCTCTCAGCTAGGGGGTAGAGCTTGGATAAGGCCAAAGTGGGCCACTGTTGACGGTAATTTCACCATGTTTTATATCATCAAAACCGTCAACAAAACACTCTTTCTAGGAGTTAACAAGCAAGAACATAGTGACTTAGGTACAAATAACTTGGTTCCACATGTACATGTCATATTTGCTTGTAGGTACACAAAGCATGGACGTTGGGTGGATGGAGGCTCCATATGTAGGTCGCCCGACTTGAATGTGGACTCACTGCCCCCTCTCAATCCTCCCATGATCCTCCCAACACTTCTAGAGTCAATCTCCACCTTTGGATCTCGAGGTTCTCTTCTCGTATTGGCTAAAAGGGAGAGCACACGGATTCATGGGCCCACAACAAAGCATCCAACGTGACCGAAGCTGCAAACACAGTCCATGACATGTGGGGACACCTTCTGAAGGAAGTGGTGGGGCCCAGCTGCCATAGACAGGTCGGCCGACCTCCTCATGGAGGCTCCAGCCCTCCACCGCCTTCCCCACACATTTAGCACATGCCAAATGACCCTGGCCCTTAGATTTAAGGCGGTTCTATGACGGTGGATCCAATGGTTGCATGGTCAAGTTCACACGGATCACTGACGTGGCACTACCCCTCACTCCAGCTATAAATACCCCCTTAGACTTCACTCTCATTCATGACATATTAGAGTAAACCACTCTTTAGTAGCTTTAGCGAAGCTCTGTTGTAGTGCTATGAGATTAGGGAGAGAGTGAGGGCCTGTCTGGTGTCTTCTCCAAGCTCTACCTCGTCAGATGCAATCTTCTTGTAAGTAATACATCCGAGTTCTTTATAGTATTTGATATTATGTCTCTGCTAGTAGTTATATAGCCTTCTTACCTGTACACCGCTTTACTTAGTAGAGTGCTCTAACCTTTCGAGAAGGTTAGAGTAGTAAGTATAGTGTAGACGTGGTGTCTAGACTATATCTTGCCTGTGTAGACCGCTTATCGCACGGATAGTTTGTGGTAGCTAGCAGGAGGTGACAGCCCTGTCTAGCCTTTGTATTTCACCACGTGTGTAAGACAAGTTCTTAAAAGGTTGGGCCTCAATACAACATGGTAGCTACTTCGGATAGGTTTCATTCCCTATTGTCTCACCTATCGCCTCTTGTAAGCGGGTGGGTGACTAACCCTTTATAACTACTATCTTTACTAGATATCATTGCTATCTACATCCTCTCAACCCAAGTTCCATAGGCTCTTTTATATCATCATAGGATGATCTTGATCCTCAGTTAGTTCACTTCGCATTCCCCGTGGAAATACGATACCTGGATGATGTAAACAAGGCCCGATCTTTCGATTGGTACGATAGCGTCGATTGGTGGAGACTCGACGTTCATGATCTAGGCTTTGAACCAAGACTGATTTAGACTCTCGCAACCGTTACACCACTGCTCTGTTGGTTATCAACCACGCGAACACGATTGACCTCGCCGAGAAGGCTTTCCTGCAAGCGAATCGAGAACACAAGCAAGAACAGGATGAACGCAATCTTAAATTGCAAATAAATATGAGGCTTATGATAACGAGGAGTTCTAGTCTTTATTCAAAAGGACTAATCTCCCCAGGTGAACAAGATCAAGAACAGGGGCCCTGGTTCATAACAAGCGGCCTTGGCGGCACTGTTGCAGCAAAACGACGTCTGTTTCACGAGGAAATCAAGAACTAAACAAAACCCCCCCAAACCCTAACGATGGTGGTATAATATAGAGTCTTGGGCGTCACCCCCCGGACGCGCCCCTAATAGGCCCAAACACGATACACGGTCCAACGGACCAAAAGACGGTGTCGCCGCACCCTAACAGATTCTGGACGCTGACTTGTTTCGACGAATCCCGTTGATTCCGAGGGTCTATTGATGTGAGACCACTTGCATTGGCTTCCTTATCTAATTAACTTTCCATCCATATGTGGATCATCGAAAATGGAGCCAGGACGCACCCATGTGACCAGTTTTATGATAGACTGGTCCTGGAACCCGAGATGGGCTCCAACTTCAGTTGGACTGGGCCTCCACCATGAGGAAGATGAATTGGACGCCCATGCTGGACCTCCTCCTCTCCTTGGCTTGTATGAGATGGAGTGATGTCCTCCTCATCCTCCCTTTCTTGAATTGAAGTTGTCTTCTACTAAAGTAGATCATCTCCTCCATTGGATGACAGCAACGATGGCTCTGGAAGAAGACTTTCATCTTGACGCCCAATCCTTCGCAAAGGTGGCTGCCATGGTGGCCTCCCTACTGGGAATTCATCCTTCTTCTTCTGCAAAAGGTTAGTACCAACAAGAGGTATAGCACTAGAAGCAGGACCAAGTGGACATATAGGCGATGTACAAGTTAAAACATAACATGGTTCATCATGGTCAGCAAGAACAGATTTAAGAGCAAATAAAACTTCTTTCATGTTACTTGATGGTTCATTTGCTAGTTTGCTAGAGTCTTTATCATGGCCTTTCTTTTTCTTTTCAGCAAGTTCCTTTTCATATTGCACAATTTCAGCAGGAGTTAAAGGAAGTAAAGCAATGATATTTCCTTTAAACATAAAAGTATATCTATTTTGCCTACCACGATGTACAATATTATTATCATATTGCCAAGGGTGGCCTAACAAAGGTGAACAAGCTTGCATAGGCACGATATCAAAATCAGCATAATCATGGTATGATCTGATAGAAAAATGCACACGAGCAGATTGTGTTACCTTTGCCTTACCACTATTGTTGAACCACTGAATATGATATGAATGTGGAAGAGCATGTATAGATAAACCAAGGGTCTTGACAAGCTCAGAACTTACCAAGTTATTACTGCTCCCTCCATCAATTATAGCACGAACACAGAAATTATTGACAATGAGGAACATTTGAAACAAATTATGGCGTTGTAGCTTGTCTACTGGCTCAACTTGTGTACTCAAAACACGTTGAACAAGGATTGATTTGTAGTTTGCAGTACATGCCACACTATCAGTTATCTCATCAGGATCTTCAGCACTATCCGCAAATTTATCTTCATAAAGATTAGTTGCAAGTGCAAATTCATTCTCTTCATCACTAGCACTAGCATACCCACCATCATCAGTAGCAATATATACGCGTTTGCTGGGGCATTCTTTAGCAATATGTCCCATGCCCTTGCAGCGGTGGCAAACAACTTTAGAAGAGCTACTAGAGGAAGGTGTAGCAGATCCACTGGAAGAAGGTGTGATAGGAGAACTCTTCTTTACAGGCGCTGGTGGTGTCTGCACATTAGAAAATTTACTCACCTCGGTTGGACATGAATGAGTGGACGGAGTCGTGGAACGCATAGGTTGTCATCCATGTACTTCCCTTTCAGCTTTTAGAGCATAATGATATAATTGGGGAAATCTAGTCCATTCTTTATAGTCAAGAACATCCTGTATTAGATCTAGTAGTATGTTTATACACTTGAAACCTATTTTGTTATCGACAATGCCTTAGAATTAGATGTAAGGCAAGAGTGTGTATGTGATTGAGTTGTATGATATGCATTGTGTTGGGTTTTTGTGTGTAACTCAACGTAAAGATCCTGAAGAGGAGTTGCTACGTGCGCTCCTAGGGGTCTCGTGCTGTCATTTTACTTAAATTGAGTAGGTCAAGTGGATGACTCTTGATTTAGGTGGATCAGCACGGCGGGTGCCCCCACAGTTCCCTTGTGGGTTGGTGTGTTCAATGTGGCAGGTGGCCGCTGTGTT